CCCCCCCCCCCCCATCTGATGACAGGCTTAGAGGGCGCTAGGGTCCTAGGCTCCCGGAGGCCAGCCCAAGAGCTGAGGGGCGGGGGCTGTTACAAAGTCAGTTACCTGGACACTGGCTTTGAGAACGTGGCTGTCACTACTGGGGTTGAGGAGTTGTCACTCTGGGTGTTTCTCCCAGCCGCCCGAGAAGGGGCGCCCTGTCTTATGGTTCCATTTTACAGAAGAGGAGAGTAAAACCCAGACAGATTAGCTGCCCCCACCCCACCCCCCCGCCACTGGAATGGCGCCAGGACCCTGACCGAGCTCTGACTGCAGAGCTTGTGCTCTAGTATCTGATGAGGACGGCTGTGTCCTGACCCTGACCCCTGGTGGTGCCGGGAGCCTGGGCCACCCCAGGGGGCGGGTGTGCTGGGGCTGAGCCCGAGGCCAGGTCCTGGGGTCCCGCAAGGAGGTGGCGATAGGCAGGACTGACATCAGCCGTGTCTGTGCCTTCAGACCCCGTCACCTACTACACCGCCCTGCACATCGCTGTGCTGCGAAACCAGCCCGACATGGTGGAGCTGCTGGTGCGCCATGGGGCCGACATTAACCGGAGGGACCGGGTAAGGGCGGGGCCCAGCCTGCTCTGAAGCAGGGACGTGGCGGGGGGCACGAGCAGCTTCCCAGGCCAACTCGGCTGTGCTCTCTTGCCTCAGATCCACGAGAGCAGCCCCTTGGACCTGGCCAGCGAGGAGCCGGAGCGCCTGCCCTGCCTGCAGCGCCTCCTGGACCTCGGGGCAGACGTCAACGCGGCCGACAAGCACGGTGGGTGCCCCCGGCGGGAAAGCGGGACGGCCGTGCGCCAGGTGCCTTGTGCGGGACACCCACAGCAGCCCAGGACAGCGGCTAGGTGGGCGTGCGGGCTGGACGCAGCTCGTGCGATGACGCAGCGCAGCGGACGCACGGGTGCATCTTGCTGACCCGCCGCAGAGGCTTTAGGGAAGTAGAAGTGGCACAGCCCTTGGCCCCGCGCCGGCCGCTTGAGGGCTCTCTGGGGGAGGAGGCGGGGCACGCGTGCGCTCAGATTCTGCCGAGGGAGCCGTGGCTTCTCGGGGAAGCCTCGGCCCAGGCCTCAGGCAGCGTCTGAGTGTCCAGGAACCATTCTGTTCTTGGTTTTGTGCGGGTGGAAAGACAAATGACCAGAAACCTGTCACCCTCAGCCCTGGCTCTGAGAGGTCAGTCCTTTTTGAAGTTGGCCTTCTGGGGGTGTCTGGCTGCAACTCTTGATCTCGGGATTGTGAGTTCGAGCTCCACGTTAGGTGCAGAGATGACTTAAAAAAATAAGATCTTTGGGGCGCCTGGGTGGCGCAGTCGGTTAAGCGTCCGACTTCAGCCAGGTCACGATCTTGCGGTCCGTGAGTTCGAGCCCCGCGTCAGGCTCTGGGCTGATGGCTCAGAGCCTGGAGCCTGTTTCCGATTCTCTGTCTCCCTCTCTCTCTGACCCTCCCCTGTTCATGCTCTGTCTCTCCCTGTCCCAAAAATAAATAAACGTTGAAAAAAAA